CGTTGTATCTACTACTAAGTATATGATAAATATATATTATTATAACAGTAACTTGATCCGAAGGGTCGTATATCACGTCGAGTTGACAGGCGCGGATCATCAGATCTCACGAGACGCGAAGCGTCGAGTGTGATCTGATGATCCGCGCCTGTCAACGAGACGTGATACGGCTCTTCGGATCAAGTTACTGTTATAATGATACATTTATTATATACCCCCTTATAACTAGCTAAATATAGCAGAATAAAACTTAAGAGATCAATTGTATAATATTTATCCATAAAACAAAGCATAATAACAAGGGACTTTTTAACGCGCAAGAAAAATAACGTCATGTTTTTGCGTACTACGTCATCAGTTTCAGAGAGTGGTGATATGGATTCAGAAAACCACAGTGTGGTGATCCGGAAAATCGGATCAAACTCTGTAAAATTAACAGTAACAAAAACAAGGAAATTGATGGGTATATAATGAATAGAGAATATTACATACTAAAATCCATATCATATGTCATATATCAGCCCGAGTGGCCCCATATCAGCCCGAGGGCTGCATTGGCAGCATTGAAGGAGGTTTTGGGGCTGCTTTTCTGTTTCGCCTTATCTGATTGGTTAGATATTTAAACTGTATTATAATTAGCGATTAATAAATCGTCTGATTACGGCATATCAAACACTAATAGCGGGGTTTAGGTTAAAGAGACTAATCAAAGAACATCTCCCAGACAGAGTGATTGCAAAATTATGATAGGTAACATTAATTATTACCTTGGTAATCTGTCTCGAAATAGGGGTTCCCCTTTTGTTTACAACTTTTGTTTCTTACCTTGTGTATTTTTATTATACCGAATAAGGCCATTCTTTAAACGTGAGAAAAAGTACAATCTGCTTGCATATAACGACATATAGATGTGTTTGACGGTTAAATTTTATATTTTCGAGATTTTATACACTCTTAAATTTTTTTTTCTTTAAAAAAAGGGGGGGGTGGTATTATCCATACTTCAGGTGCCTGTGTCTGGAAACCCCACCCCTTCATTTAAAGGTGTTAAAACTGATATTTTATACCATAATGTTAAGTGTGATTTATATCAAAGAATCTCATCCAAACCGTATCAGAACTTCATCCAAACCGTACACAGTTTTGTAAACAGTAGCATCCAAACATGTTACGTTGTTCTATAGCATGTCACCATCGGAACAGTTTCTTTGCATTAAATTCGTGGATTAATGGCAGAGCTACAGGATATATAATTACTTTTAAACACAGACTGTCTCTTAGTTGTAAAATTACATAGGGTGAATTCACCATGCATCGGATACCCCTGTACTTCAACAAGTTCTAGCAATATCGCTACCGACGGAAAATTATCAAAATGGAGTTTAACATTTAGTTTGTGATTAAAATAACAATTTAGGACACAATTATATGCCATTTATTGAGAAAAAATCGCCAAAAATCAAGTTTTTAGAAAAAACTGAAAATTCACCATGGATCGGACATTGTTCACCATGCATCGGACAGACGGTATGGAGACCGGAAAAATATCATACCTTTATCAGAGTGCTTTAAAATCCTTGATATGGATATATTTTCATCTTTTATCTCAGAAATAACCCTCACCTTTAACTTAATCGACGATATTTTTGCACAAATGTAAAACTATTCTAGAGACCTCACTCTGCTTAAAAATGCTTTAAAATGCTTATAATGCCATAATTCGCGCCTTTTTTCTCATGGTTTATCATACTCTGGTTTGTAGAAATAAATTGAGTAAAATTCCAGACGTCATATATCGATAACTTGTATTTTGACTGAAAATATAGAGTAGTGTTGATTCAAGTTTGCTCAAGTCATGAACGGGCAATAGGGGGTAGGTAGGTTGGGCCACAATTGGGGATCAAAGTTTTGCCTAGAAATATTGAGGAATTTTTTTTTCCTAAGAACAGAAAAAACATGTTTAATCATATTAATATGAAGGCATTTTCAGGTAGTACAACGTCATACTGGTTCAAATGAGGGCTTCCAGGGGTAAGGCTGGGCCACATTGGGGGGGTCAAATGAATACAGTAAAATACGGTTATAGCGAAGTCCTGGGGACCTGTGAATTTAATTCGCTATATCCGTAATTCGTTATATCCGTATAACGAATTCGTATAACCATATATAGCGAATTTGCAATATGCATGTTTTCCTTCAAGTGTTACTATCAAATATGTTAGGGAAGCAAATATTACAAAACATACCTTCGATAACTAAAGTTTTATAATGAATTGTATTTTATATACAATTGCGGAGAGAAAATAAAGTCAGTTCAATTATTTAAATTTTGAAATCTTTGAAAGTTCGTTATAAGAGATGTAAAATTCATTATATTTAACCTCAACGGGACTCAAAATCAGTTCGCTATATCCGTAAATTCGTTATATCAGAGTTCGTTATAACCGTAAAATTTTACAAAGATTTGTTAAGAATTTTTCCGGGGACCCAGAAAAACTTCGTTATATCCGTGAATTCGCTATATCCGTGATCGTACTAAACGTCTTTTACTGTAAATAGGAAAAATCAATAATCTGCTCAGAAACATCAAAAGCATTTGTTGTGTGGAAGCATCATCAGGTAGTTGGTACTTTAAAATTCCAGACACCCCCCCCCCCCTGTAAACTTCTCAATACTGAAATGATTTCTGCTTTATTTCCCAGCCAATGTGCTCAGGTGAGCAATATGGCCCATGGGCCTCTTGTTATGATTTAAAATATATTAAAGGTAGAAGAGTTCAACTAACTACTATATATTTTCATTATATGTAATAACGTTAAAAGTTTCATGTAAATGAAAAAAATGAAATATTTTAGCCTTCTTCGGTTTTAGGTTTTTGAGTAATTATGCCCCCGTAAACGAAGCTTCGGGGGCATATAGTTTTTGTCGTGTCCGTCTGTCTGTCTGTCTGTCTCTCTGTCTCTCTGTTTGTCTGTTTGTCCGCAAAAACTTTAACCTTGCCCATAACGTTTGATTTAGTGGAGCTATGACTTTCATATTTCATATGTGTATTCCTTACGACAAGACCTTTCTTTGGGTACCACCAAATTTGACCTTTTGACCTTGACCTTGGAGTTTGACCCACTTTTACATGAAAATTTTAAAATTTTACTCTGGCCATATCTTTTGAACATTAGACACCAGGACATTTATAATTCACATATGTAATGTTTGTTAAATGACTTTTTACTTGATACCAATAACCTTGACCTTTTGACCTTGACCTTGGAGATTTTCGTACCTATGAAAAAACTTTAACCTTGGCTATAACTTTTGAACAATAGCTACTACGGCTTTCATACTTCACATATATAATCCTGATAAAAAGACCTTTCATTGGATACCAAGAACTTTGACCCTTTGACCTTGACCTTGGGGTTCGACCTACTTTAAAAATACAACATTGACCATATATTTGAAGGGTTTGGGCCAGGGCATTCATACTTTACAAATTTAGACTTTCATATTTTATATATGTAATCCTTGTGACAAGATATTTCTTTGGGTACCAAAAAATTTGACTTTTTGACCTTGACCTTGGAGTTTGACCCACTTTTACATGAAAATTTTAAAATTTTACTTTGACCATATCTTTTGAACAGTAGACACCAGGACATTTATACATCACATATGTAATGTTTGTTAAATGACTTTTTACTTGATACCAACAATCTTGACCTTTTGACCTTGACCTTGGAGATTTTTGTACCTATGAAAAAACTTTAACCTTGGCTATAATTTTTGAACAATGGCTACTACGGCTATCATACTTCACATATATAATCCTGATAAAAGACCTTTCATTGTATACCAAGAACCTTGACCCTTTGACCTTGACCTTGGAGTTTGACCTACTTTAAAAATACAACATTAAACATATTTTTGAAGGGTTCGGGCTAGGGCATTCATACTTCACAAATTTAATCCCTGTGACAAGACCTTTCATTTGATATCAAGAACTTTGACCCTTTGACCTTGACCTTGGAGTTTGACTTACTTTTTACAAACTTTAACCTTGACCATAACTTTTGAACAGTAGGGGCTAGAGCTTTCATATTTCACATGTGTTATCCTTATGACAAGACCTTTCATTGGATATCAAGAATATTGACCCTTTGACCTTGACCTTCGAGTTTGACCTACCTTTTACAAACTTTAACCTTGGTCATAACTTTTGAACGGTAAGGGCCAGCGCATTCATACTTCCCATACGTAATCATTGAGACAAAGCCTTTCTTTAGAACCCAACAACCTTGACCCTTCTACCTTGAAATTTAGTTTGTTCTGTATTATAAAATGCTAACCTTGGTCATAACCCTGGAACAGGTGTAGTTAGCGTTTTACATTTCTTATTATTTGTGAAAAGGCCTAACTTTGGTACCAACATATTTGATCTGCATTTGAGAAAGCTTAACCTTCGCTATGTTGCCATACGGGGGCATCAGTGTTTCACAAACACATCTTGTTTTTACATAGGCCTAATTCACAAAGCATGTAATATTATTAGTATTATTATTATTATTAATATATTAAGATAGGAACTTGTTTTAGATCTAGATTAAACCATGTCATCATTTGTTTTGTTTAAAAAACTGAATAAACATTCAGAATTATTGCTTCTAGGCTATATCAGCAAAGATCACTCTTCAAAAGGCTAAGTAAAGCAGCCAATCCAAGCAAAATGATGAGCATGAAAAATATTTGAATTTGTAAAATTTATGTCAAACTTAAGGTATTTCTGTCTTCTTCTTTGCTGTTGATATTTAAGATTAATAAGTGTAGGTACCTGATTTCATTTAAGGCTTATAATATACATGTATATTACATGAAAGATATCGATAATCCAAGCGTTGAACAAAACGCGCGCAATGCTACCGCTTTTGAGGTCTGAATCTCCCTATTTTTCATCACAATAGGTTAACATGTATGGTAATAAGGTTGAAACTTTTGATGTACGCCTACGAAGATATTCTTAACATAAGAATTATCATGGTATAAATCATGGCATTTAATTATTTTGATAGATTCCACAAGATGTAGAGTGCAACTGCTGAAAGAAGATGATGGTTTTTCCATTGTACAGGTTTATATTTTAAGTACTCTATATCATTAGAGATTGTTCTATCTGACGTATCCGTATACGTATCCGTATCCGTATCGAGATATGAAAGGCATCTCGATCCCGATGTTTAACCCATTTGATACAATTCCATCTCTGTTTGTGGTTACTTAAATAAGCCACAGTCTTGCATTGAAAAATAACAAATGGTATTTTTTTTTTATATAAAAATACTAAACTGCTTTAAACCTCTATCATTTCGAAGAAAAATATTGATTAAAAAAAAAAAAAGAAAATGAAACCAAGTTTAAAATTAATTTCATTTTGTTTTTAAAATATTTGTTGAAAAATCCCCTTTCTCCTTTTCCTCTCTCATAATATCACGATATTTTATTTATTCATTCTGTATTTTTCACTATACCATTACACGTAACTGATAACATAATAGATAACCCCCCCCCCCCCCCACACACACACACAAACTGAAATACAAAATACCTTATCATCAACGCGATCAATAAAACTATGTATCCGTTTTAGAGAGAGTTTCAAATTGATTTCATAATTCGCTTCAGGACCGTTACAAGTTCTGAGTATATGCTTTGAATAGCCAGTTCAACTCCCTCCTTTTCACCTCCCTTGACATTGGCGTCGGAAGGAAATTGAAAGTAGGGAGTGGGGCTAATTGAAAGAGAGAAAAATTCAGCCCTGAAAAAGCAGAAAAAAAGGAATTTTTTTTGTTCATTGTCCAAAATCCTTAAATACTATTGTGTGTGAGTGTGTGTGTGTGTGGGGGGGGGGGTCGAACTTTTTTCATTACAATTTTCTTTTCAAACACTCCCACTTACCCTACTTTAACCATTGGCGTCGGCAGCAAATTGTACACTGTAATTTGTAATTGGGGGGGGGGGGGCTATTTAAGAAAAAAATTTTATTCCTTCAAAAAGAAAAACAAAAAAAAAAACAAAAAAAAAAAAAATGACAGGCAAAGAGGAAATGTCCGTCTAAACACGAAAATCCTATTGGGGGGGGGGGGGTTGTAAGTTTCACTCGCAAATTTTTTCCAAACAACACCACTTTCCACATTTATTTAACCTAAACTAAAACATGTTTGTGGAAAGTGGGGGGGGGGGAGGGGGCTTAGCCTACGCAGCGATGTTCAATGTCTGTATTAAGTCTATCTTTGGATAAAAGAGTGGGGGGGAGGCGGCTACGCCCCCAAACCAACGGTTCCGACGCCTAAGTTAACTGCAATACAACATGCCTGTTGAGAGTGGGGAAGGGGCTTATCCTACGCCCCAATATATATTATGTCCATCTTTGCAAATAAAGTGGGGGGTGGGGGGGGGGGGCCTACACACACAATAGTATTTAAGGGTGAGTTTTTCAGAGCCTGCTTTGTTTACTAAAAACTCCATCATGTAACTTTCATGAAAAGAAGTTAACATGCAAAAAGAATAGTTTAAGAGAGGAAGATACATCATAACCTAACATTTATTTTCCTCTCCCTTTTATCGACAAGTGTTTAATCAATCAAGTCTAAAATATACAGCGTTTAAACGCAACACTTTCAGATCTTGTACATAGTCATTTCTCAAGCTCCTTGAAACCCTGGATACGCATAGGCGTCGGAACCGGGAAGGGGGGGGGGGTAGGGGCGTCTTAGCCCTCCCCCATTTTCTTGCAAAGATAGACATTATATATAGTCAATTAAAATTGGGGTTTATCTTTTTTTGTTGGTTTAGCACCCCCTTTCAACTAGCTCCCCTTCCTATTTTCTTCCGACGCCCATGATACGGTTATCGACCTACAATTTAGGGAGTGTATTCAAACTGCCCCCGAATTACCAGATATCCAAAATTTTTCTGGAGAACTATGACCATCAAATACGTGATAATGAATGGCATAGAAGATGATAAAAAAGGAAATTGGGATGGACATTTTCAGTGAATCCCCCATATACATTTGTTTTGCACTTTGATTAAATCTTTCCCAGTTAATGTACAACTACATGTATTTACAATTTACAAGTTTGAGATAAAGAGGTTTAACTGTATATATTATAATTATATATTATTGGGGATATGTCGTCTTCTTGTAAATGTTATTTCAAGAATGAAGAATGAATACCCTAAAATTGAGAGAGAGAGAGAGGGAGAGAGAAAGAGAGGTCGATCTATAAATATTTTCTACACATTTAAATAAAAAAAAAATCATACATGTTTTTCTAATTTTATTTTTAAACTTTTATACCCCCTCCACCCAAAAAGACATGATGCATAAGACGTGTACAGCAACTTATATGTTTTTATTAAAAAAAAAACACACTATTCTAGAAGTTCATGAGGTTATAATAAGTACATGTACAGGGTACTTTAAACTTAACTACGGGAATATTTCAT